GCCATTTGTCTCTTGGATGTTAGTATAGGGTCTGAACATTGCTCCGAGTCGCTTAGTGCCACCGCGACTCGAGTGGCCAACAAATCTAATGTGGGTTAAATGCTAATTGCTTAAAGTTGAGCAACCGTCGCTGGTTGCGCTTTGGCGAGAATTGCTTTAGGACTTGGGGAACTTAAAACAGAGGAAGAGGCGCGCTGATGATTCCTGATAGCGATAACAGGGATGACACGAAATCCAGACATTGTTTTCAACGCCTTGGTACCATGCTGAGTGCAACTGCACTGAGCGTGCATTGTGGTATACTTGTGACGTATTATATTATACTATATATATATCTGAATATTTGATTGTAATATAATATTGATGATTATATTAAATTATTGAAGTTTATTTAAATTTTTTTATGCCTCAATAGTAATATATTTATATATTATTAGGCATATATATGGATATATCATTCTCGTGGGAATATAACAGTCTCTATGGTATATTCTGATAACTCTCAATAAGATACTTCCATATATCTCAGACACAGATATATTTGATTTTAATATAATGTTGATGATTATATTAAATTATTGAAGTTTGTTATTTAAATTTGTTATGCCCTAATAGTAATATATTTATATATTATTGGGCATATATATGGATATATCATTCTCGTGGGAATGTAATAATCTCTATAGTACATTCTGATAACTCTCAATAAGATACTTCCACATATCTCAGACTCTCTTCGCTCAAGTATATCAAATAGTACAGTGAAATTCGTTGCGGTGAAGTGGCGGCTTGTTTCTTTGGATATAATGAAGTGTCAGGTTGCTTCTGCTTATACACGACACATTGTCCACTGGCTGAAGAATGAAGAGGCCGAATAAACATCCACTCGGAACGTAATCTTCTTTGGGAGCCTCGTTCCACCTATATGGACTCTTCTCATAGATGAATACCGGCGCCTTCCAGTCGAGAGAATCCGTGAAGATCTTTGAAGATTTTTTCTCTTTTTTTTTTCTTTTTCTCAGCTATTGTGTCTATTATACGTTTTTGTATTCCACGCGCGTCCTTACAAGACTTTTATGGACCATTGTCAGCACTTTGGGATTTTTCCTTAAGCGAGCTACGGTGTAAGTTTACGCGATGAAAAACCGCACCGAAATTGCAGCCATTGAATACCTTTTTCTGCCGAAATCATCGGGGTCATTGGATATCTGGTCGATGATCTTTACATACTGGATGTAATTGTATTGGATGATCTAGATCGTTGCGTTGAATCATATTGTTAATTTTATTTGAAAATTTTTTATTTTTTTTTCTTACTTACCGTAAGTTGCGATACTGGCTTTAATCAAAAAGTGATTGTCTCCTCACTGATAGCCAGGATCGAAATTAATTTTGGACCAGCTGATAGTCATCCAAGATGAAGGTACAGTTAGTAAAGTGAAGAATGAATTTTTTGAACAGCCGATGTTATCTGCTATAAAAATAACTGGATAAAAAAAAAATTTTTTTTTAATATGAAAATTAATAATATTTTGACAGCTATATCCAGCGATAAGATATAGTTACGTATGGTGGTCAAAGAAAAAAAGAGACAGCAGAGTACTTTAAATTGAATTAATTCATTATTATTATTATTTTATACAGTAGTAATGATAATTAAGGTATTTTAGTTTTTTTTTAATAATATCTATAGTGCTCTCTTCGTAATTCGTCATCATCGTCGTCGTCATCGTACAAGGGTAGCATTTCTTCTTAAAGTCAAAAAAACAGGGGACTTGCTTGTGTCATTAATCATTATAGACGATTTTTTGTTTTTACACGCTTATCACATTATTATACTTTACACAGATCCATGTATAGCTTATTTGATACCACGGTACGGATAGGGATGAAGGGTGGAGGGGAGAAATTGGTTGGATGGACGTATAGGGGATGTTGGGTTAGGGTTGGATTAGGTTAGAGTTAGGTTAGGTTAGAGGGTGGTCCCAGCGCGATATTTACACGCTAGCAAAGGATCGACCTCGACTTCTCGTCACCACCTACGGATCGATCCTTTCGAGCACCTAAGCGGCTGGGGCTAGTAACGCTAATAAAAAAAAAATTTGTTTTTTTTTCTTTACAAAGTCTCACACAATTTTCATCGTCGTTTTCGAAATTACATAGTCTTCCCGCAAATTTTTCTTTCGTTTTCACCAAAATATTCGCTCTTCGATACTTTTCACCCTCCTTATACGTATCGCGATTACGAGGTTCATTGAGGTCGCAGCATTAGGCCAAAAAAATTTATTAATACTCAAATTTGACATGGTAATTCAAAAAATTTTGTTAGGTGAAAGTATTCTTTTTTGTTTTTTTTTTCATTTTTTTTGTCACTTTTGTCCATCAATTCATGCCGCGTTCTCAAATCGCTCGTCTCGCAATTTAGGAACTCAGGAGCGTCTAAAGCGTCGACAACGCGTCTTATTGCACCGGACCGAATACAATTGTATAATTAATTATCCATCTTTGACGTATCTTACATAATTAACGCGTAGCCTAGCGTCGATTATCTATACAGGGGAAACTAACAGCGACGTTGAGTACGGCCATTTTTTTTTATTTGATTCGTCCAATTTTCGTAGGCGCTCTTTTTTTATTTTTTTTTGCGACAGAAAGAGGCGGGTTGTCTCGTAAACACTTCTTTTTTTTTTCTTTCGTTAGAACAAGGCCCTTTGGAGATTTTAATTTTGAGGTTAGAAATCTTCCTGCGACGTTTTATTTCGTCAACACGTATTACCCGTTCAAGGTACTTAGACTCTCTTACGCAGGTAGAAACAGTAGTAAAAGAAGGTACGTTTCTCACGAGAGCGACTATTCCGTGTAGTTAGTATTTGGGTCAGCAAAGGGGCTAAGTCAGTCCTTCGCTTCCTTCTATATGCCGCGAGCGAGTAACTTTTTGCGGTTTCGGTTAGTTTCGAGATACTTTGAGGTTGTTGCGTAAGATGGCCACTAGGTCGGTTACACGCGGGGCCTGAAATGGCCGTCGCACGGTACTGCCATAGGTAGAACGGGGCCCGAAGGGAAAACCATTGCTACAAGAAATCACAGCTGGTTTCTTGGGGTTATACTTTTGTCCTACGGATATTAGTATGCCGTTCGTTCTTGGAGCTGTGATATTTTTTCATTATTTTTTCCTCTCTTTTTCTTCCCACGTATAAAAGGACTGGTTACGATCTTACGAGGAGGTTGTAAGACACGTGGTGAGCGTCACGACGACGTAAAGTTGCACAACGACGTAATGGGTGTCGTTGGCCTTTTATTTTTTTCTCTCGAAAAAATAGACGTTCGAAAGGATAAATAAGAATACAAAGATAAGGGAAACGAGAGAAGGCATATTAAAAAAAAAAAAAATAATAAAAATAAAATAAAATGGAAGTAAAATTATGAATCGGTGGGGCCTTGTTTGCGAACTCAGAATCCTCGCGGTCACGGGGTACCGTTTTTCCGACATTTTTCTTTTTTCTTATTCTTTTTTTTTTCATCGCTCTGACCTTAATGAACGCGCACGGCTTTTGGTAACGTAATGATCATCTCTTTCGCGCGCAACTTCTTTTACTTTCTTTTTTTTTTATGGGTGTGCATGTATATATACATTTTTCAGCCTCTCGAATCTCTCCTGCTTCTTTCTCTTTCTCTCTTTTCTGCTGTACCTTTACGGTGGGGGACCCACCGAGTTGCATCATCCGGAAAGGGGGGACACGCTGATTATATTGCCAGCATGATTGCCTCGTTTGGCTCACAAAAATGTCATTAGGATTTTATTATTTTACAACCACCGTAAGGAAATACAGACAGCGTTTGACATTTCTGCAATTACATTTCTTTTTTTTTTCTCTTCGCTTTAATATAATTTCTGGAATTCGCCAAGCAGATAAATGCACGGTCAAACCGTGCGAACTGTATGTTGATATTTACAGATAAAATTATGACAAGGAACGTTAGCGATTAATTGTTCTAGAACATTTGCCAAATTTAATATTTTGCCTTAAGACAATAGAAGAGCCAGAGAGAGAGAGAGAGAGAGAGAGAGAGAGAGAGAGAGAGAGAGAGAGAGAGAGAAAAAAGACAGAAGAAAATCGAGGATAAAAAATGTCTTTCTGAATACAAGAAAATATATATATATATATATTTACTCAGTTCTCCATTCAAGCTTATTTCCAACGATGCGACACTCACGCACGATGATTCGGAACGCCCTCATCATTAGCCAGAGGAAACACGCTCATTTTTTTTGTTCAGTTTCCTACTATTTTTTTTGCCCATTCTACCTTTCTATTCCCAGTCTATAGTCTAACACTGCACGAAAGCGTCACAGAAGAAATCATCGTGACAGTCTGAGAAGATACTTGGAATCCTTAAAGATCGTCGCCGTGAAGATGCTGAAAAGTCGGCCAATTTCTTCTCATTACTAGCATCCAGCATGAATAAACACTCTAAATTACAGATTAGCTTTTATTCCCTTGGTCATCCGATTCGGATGACGTCTAACGAAATTTTCACAAATTAAAAAAAAAGATAAACAACATCCCAACTAGAGTTTGGTAATCGATCACTATCGATCGAGGCTGATCCAGAGTCTCGTTTAGCACATTTTTCTCTTCCAAAAGTACTCAAGTACAGGAATAATATCTCGAACCACAAGAAGAGTACTGTCATGAAGAGTGTCTCATATTCATTTACATCTTAATTCGCACAATCAGTGATATTTTCCTCTTGCTTATCTTTTTGACAGTTTTGTACATAACGATCACTCATATATATATATATATATATATATATATCACTGGTACTCCGGGTAGTCACCATTATGAAAACAGTTTTGTACATAACGATCACTCAT